GACCCTATCTTGGACCATGGGGTCCACCATCTCCATCTCCCCATGCCCCCTACCCAAAGCCCCCAGCCTGGCTCACAGGGTCCATCCTCCCCCCGCTGTCACCCCAGGGCCCCCATTCTGGACCACAGGGTCCATCACCTCCCAGTGCCCACCACCCCAATCACCCAGCATCCCCATCCACCATCAAGGGGCTCCATCACCTCCCAGTGGCCAGCACCACACACCCATCACCCCAACGCTCCCACTGTGGACCATGGGGGGGGTCCAACGCCCCCCACCCATGCCCATCCCATCCCCTGGTGCCCACCCTACCGCCTGCGTGTAGGCGCTGTAGGCCCCGAACTGGAGGGCGATGGGGCTGAACATGTCTGGCCCCCCGCTGCATCCGCCGCAGGCCCCGCTCCTTCTCCGTGTCCGCAAACTTCACCACCAGGCTGGAGGACGCGCCCTGAGAGGGGACACGGCCATGTCACCCACGGGGGGTCACCCTGCTGCTGGGACACCCCCATGGGGCAATGGGAATGGTAGGGACAGTGGTGGTGGGGATGATGATGAGGATGATGGGGATGAGGATGACAAGGATGATGATGATGAGGGTGGTGGGTACCATGATGAGGATGGTGGGGATGATGGGGATGGTGGGGATGATGGGGATGAGGATGATGGGGATAATGAAGGGGATGGTGGGGATGATGATGGTGGGGATGAGGATGAGGATGAGGATGAGGATGATGGTGGAGATGATGGTGAGGTTGTTGAGGACCATGAAGGGGATGGGGGTGGGGACAATGATGAGGATGAGGATGATGGTGGGGATGAGGAAGGCGACAGTGGTGGCGATGATGATGAAGGTGATAGGGATAATGAAGGGGATGGTGGGATGATGAGGAGGAGGATGATGGGGATGATGATGGGGATGGTGGTGGGGATGGTGGTGGGGAAGATGATGAGGATGATGGGGATAATGAAGGGGATGGTGGGATGATGAGGAGGAGGATGATGGGGATGATGACGGGGATGGGGGTGGGGAAGATGATGAGGATGATGGGGATAATGAAGGGGATGGTGGGGATGATGATGGTGGACATGAGGATGATGAGGATGAGGATGATGGTGGAGACGATGGTGTGGTTGTTGGGGACCATGAAGGGGATGGGCATGGGGACAATGATGAGGATGAGGATGATGAGGATGATGGTAGGGATGAAGAAGCCGACGGTGGTGGCGATGATGATGAAGGTGATAGGGATAATGAAGGGGATGGTGGGGATGATGATGGTGGAGATGAGGATGATGAGGATGAGGATGATGAGGATGATGGTAGGGATGAAGAAGCCGACGGTGGTGGCGATGATGATGAAGGTGATAGGGATAATGAAGGGGATGGTGGGGATGATGATGGTGGAGATGAGGATGATGAGGATGATGGTAGGGATGAAGAAGCCGACGGTGGTGGCGATGATGATGAAGGTGATAGGGATAATGAAGAGGATGGTGGGATGATGAGGAGGAGAATGGTGGGGATGGTGACGGGGATGGTGGTGGGGATGAGGTTGATGGTGGGGGGACGACGATGAGGATGATAGGGATTATGATGAGGATGATGGTGGGGATGATGAAGGCGTCAGTGGTAGGGATGAGGATGATGATGGTGATGGTGGGGCTGACAATGAGGACGATGAAGGGCATGGTGGTAGGGTTGATGATGATGAGGGTGATGGAGGGGATGGTGGTACGTGATGAAGGGGATGGTGGGGACGATGATGAAAGGGATGATGATGGGGATGATGAAGGGGATGGTGGTGGGGATGGGGATGAGGATGATGATGGTGGGGACAATGAAGGGGATGATGGTGGGGCTGACAATGAGGATGCTGGAGGGGATGGCGGTGGGGACGATGATGATGATGAAGGGGGATGGTGATAGGGTTCATGATGGTGGGG